AAACATAGTGGAAGGCGCTGTGCCATGGACTAAGTATTTGTTTCATTTTTCAAATAGCTAAAGAGATACCCCAGCCCTTCCCCACCTGCAACATTCTCCCTTTCTGTTATCTCACAACTACTTCTCACCTCCACCCGCTCCACCTTGCACTCAAACATAGTTCCAGGATATTAGCTCAAGTGAGCCTTAAGATGAAAAAGGACCTTTCAAGTTGAAAGTGCCTTCTTCCTCTCCATTCTTCTATTGCTCTGATTAACTTCCCTATCTTGATAGCCATGGCCCTAGGGGAGTTCCTATGTCTTTAATGGGACCGTGACTCCCAGCACCTACCTTGATCCCATAACTCCAGCTGCGCCCTCATCTAAGCCATCTTTCATACTTCCTGGGAAAGATCCAAGATACTCATCTACCTCGTTACTCTCCCTCGCTGCATACACTTCACTAACACTCTTAGACTCCTTCCATGGCTCACAGAACTTTTACAAACTGTGACCCACACATAACTACCAGGGATGACAACATAACTAGGCCAGTGATGGCAAACCTTTTAGAGCTTTCAACGATACAAACAGCTGGCCACAACATGCTTACCATAGGTTCACCACCATTGTTCTAGATTCTTCGCTTTCCACTTCCCTGTTTATCCCATAGCCTTTCTGACCCATGGTTAACTCCACCAAATACATTGGTGTCTTGTGGCTTTGCAATATGCCCCCACTCTCAGAATGTTGTGCTGTCCATCCTTCATCTAATCACTCCTGGCATATTTCAAGATTTAACTAAGCTCCTTCTTCCTGGATGTCTTCCATGAACACCTTAGGGAAACACTCATGCCTCCTCACTCCCATTGAACTTTTACCTGCACATGTGTACTGGAGCATGATTGCTTTGGTTGTGTGTCCATCCCTCCCATTAGACTGTGTCTTGAGGATGTGCTTTACTTTGTAGCTGGGCACTTAACCAAGGCCTGACAAATAGTAAGTATCCAGTAGCAGTTCAAATGAAGTTCTAAATTTATACAGGGTCCAGGAAATGTAAACTCAAATGTCCCCAAAAGCAAATACATATATAAAGACCCAAATAGTTGCGGTTTCTGGCATTCTTCATTCTTTTGTGTGGATCCAGATTAATATCTTGCTTCCCTTTGGCCTTAAGAACTTTTTAAAAATGTTTATTGTAGGGCAAGTCAACACTGGTGATGAACTTATTCACATTTTGTATGTCTGAAAAAAATTTTTCATTTTATCTTCAGTTTTGAAAGGTATTTTGGAGTACTACTAAACTCTAGGTTGACAATATTTTTCTTTTAGTACTTTAAAATATTGCTCCACTGTCTTATTTCTGACTAGTTATCTATTAGAAGCTTTATATTTGTTCTTCTGCATGCAATGTTTCTTTTTCCTCTCTGAACAATTTTAAGACTTTTTCCCATATCATTTATTTCTCGACAATTGTTTTAAGCAATGTGATTAAAATATGCCTTGGGGTAATTTCCTTTCTATTTCTTAGGTTTAGGGTTTGCTAAGCTTCTTGCATCTGTGTATTTGTTTTTATTCACCTTGGAAAAATTTTGGCAATTATTTCATCAAATAGTTCATTTTTGTCTCTTCTTTCCTTCTTCATATGCATACCCTTTTACTCTACTTTGGGAACCTCTCCTCTCTCTCTCTCTCTCTCTCTCTCTCTCTCTCTCTCTCTCTCTCTCTCTCTAGTATTGGGTATTGACCTTTGCTGTAATACAACCCCAATTGTTTTTTATTTCGAAATAGGGTCTTGCTAAATTACTAAAATGCCAAGATTGGGCTTAAACTGGTAACCCTCTTGCCTTACTTAGCCTCCCATAGTGCTGGGATTATATCCAAGCACCACTGGGCCAGGGTGGGTCCTTTAGGCATACATATAGGAGGCTATTTTAAGTTGCCCCACAATTTTCTGATGCTCTTTTCATGGTTTTGTCACAATTTCCCCCTCTGCTTCATTGTAATTAGTTTCTACTGCTATGTTCACATTTACTAATATTTTCTTCTTCAAATCTATTATCAATCCCAAGCAGTGTATTTATCATCTCAAATATTATTCTCAGATATTTTTCATCTCTAGAAGCTCTGGTTTTGTCTTTTTGTAGCTGCTATGCCTCAACTTAACTTTTTGAACACATGGAACACAGTTATATTGACCCAGTCTGCTAATGCCAATAACTCTGTCATTCATGAATCAACTTTGGTAGGCTGGTTTCCCCCTTATGATGAGTCATATTTTCCTGCTGTTCTGTATATGTGTTCTTCTCTAATTAGATTCCTAACACTTTACATTTTACTTTGTTGGATAATGAATATTCTTGCATAACTACACATATTGTTTTCAGTTTATACTTTTTGTTTGAGGATGTAGTTAAGTTACGTGGAAACAGTTTGATTCCTTTGAATCTTGTTTTTAAGATTTTTCTAGGTGGACTGGAACAGTGTTTTTTCTAATTAGGGCTGTTACAGTTTGATTTAAAATGTTCCCCAAAAGTCTCGTGTTCAGAGATGGAGCTTGGTTCACGAGGGAACTAAATTTATCAGTGAATTAAATCAACATGGCCAGTAGATGTCTGAAACCGTGAGTGGTGCTCAGCCTTGTGTGTATCATGTTTTTTCCTATATATACAAACTTACAATGAAGTTAAATATATAAATTAAGTACTGTAGGTTAATAAAAACAGCTAATAACAAAATAGACTATTATTAAAATATTAAATTAAAATTAAATTCAGTTATCAAAATATACTATAATAAAATTATGTGAATGATGGTTTCACTCTATTTCTCCCTCTCTCTGTCCCTCCAAATATCTTGTTACTATATTTTCAGATGCAGTTGACCATGGGTAACTGAAATCAGAAAAAGTATGAAGAAGGAGGGACTATGTTAGTAGTCATTGTGTGTGTGTGTGTGTGTGTGTGTGTGTTTGTGCATGTGAGTAGTGCTTCTGTGGGATTGGATTTTAAATTTAATTTAAGTTTAAAAAGTCCAGATGTGGTGAGAGAAAATTCTTAGATCAAGCCATCTTCAACCACACTTGTTGTGGGGATAGGCAGCTCCAAGGCAAATCCTTACTCCTTTCTTTTCCTTCATTATCCCCACGTTATCTATCCAACTGAAACTAAGTACTCAGAAATGTTTTCTTCTTTAACTTCCCCTTCCTCTTCCTTTTCCCCTTCCCTCTTCCCTTCCCTGCTTCTTCTTCTTCTTCCTCCTCTTCCTCCTCCTCCTATTTTTTTTTTTTTTTTTTTTTTTTTTTTTTTTTTTTTTTTTTTTTTTTTTTTTTGGTAGCAGGTATCTACTGGGGACCTTGTACTTGCAAAGCAAGCAGCAGAACCACTCAGCTAAATCCCCGGCCCAGTCATTGTAAATACATGTTTCTTAATTGAGTCACTCTGATTTTCCTACCCACTCTCGAAACCCTCCAGCTTCTTATTCCTTTGGCCTACTTTTTTTTTTTTTTTTTTTTTTTTTTTTTTTTTTTTTGGTAGCAGGTATCTACTGGGGACCTTGTACTTGCAAAGCAAGCAGCAGAACCACTCAGCTAAATCCCCGGCCCAGTCATTGTAAATACATGTTTCTTAATTGAGTCACTCTGATTTTCCTACCCACTCTCGAAACCCTCCAGCTTCTTATTCCTTTGGCCTACTTTTTAAAAAATCATTTTGAGTTCCGAGTCCCTTAGATCAAGAGACGGGACCTCAGAAAATGTCTAAAATAGATGTTTCAAACTAGTAACATCCAGAGGACTGGAGATGTAGCTCAGTACTAGAGTGCTTGCCTTGCATTCATGAGGCCCTGGGTTCAATTCTCAGCACTGCAAAAACAAACTGGTACACCCCAAACAAATCTAGCTCATAGGTATGTTCACTTGGCTTTCACAATATTAGAAGACAGTTGAACTAGCATTGCAAAACAGATATGTCAAATAGAACTGATATTTCTAGCTACTCTTGATAAATTCAAAGATTGGAGATCAATGAGTTCCCACTGGCCAGAGATAGTACCTGCTGTACTCTTTGACTAGAACACATGATATCTCACTGCCATAACCTCTTCACTTCCTGTTGCTTAACCAACGGCAAGTCTTCATTTTGGTTACTTTTTAAAAAAATCATCATAATCAGGGGCCAGGGATTGAGTGCAGTGGTTCTGCCGCCTTCCTCACAAGCACAAGGACCTCAGTTCAATCCCCGGTACCCCCCCAAAAGAAATCATCATGATCATATTATTTTTCTTATAGTGGAGAAATATTTCTCCTTACCCAAGTTTATTCAAAGGTGGTAAGATGAAAGGAAAAACAATAGGGCTTTCTGCTTTCAACCTGTCCATTTTACATATTTGTATCACCTGCCTGGCTCCTGTAGGGAGTTGAGCAGGTAAGACCTTTACTAGACTGATGAAAAACACATGTCACTCTATATGTATACTTTAACTTCCCATTTCTGCATCTACAACAGACACCAGGAATCAATCATGGCTCCCTCTGCTCAAAATTATACTCAACACAACACCCGTGGCAGCCATCACTATGAAGTCAGTATTGGCAGACAACATGATATCCTTTAGTAGGTTCAACTCTTACTCTACTGAGCTGGAAATGGAGGTCCAGAAATCTCAAGCCATCACTGAGTCAATGATGGCTTGATGGTGAACCCTCAGGTCTCTTGACACTGATACTGTTTTCACAGGCACAAGCTACCCCACCAGGAATACAGGAAATGAAAACATGATAACGTTGAGCTTCTCTTTGGCCAGAGCAACCAACCCACCAGCTGGGTTGGACTGTTACTTCCTTTTTGTAATTCATCATTTAACTTCTCTTTACCATACACTGCCCCTTGTCCTCACCCTTCCTTACTTGACTTCCTACTTCAAACCAACAATAATATACAACTGAGTTGGCTTTCCCCTGGACTGCTTCCCATGCTAATCTCTGTACCCCCCACAACCCACAGAGGCAAAGGGAATACTTACGGCACCCGGAGCTTCGGGAACTTTTGGATGTCATTTTCCGTCAGGTTCTGAAATAAAGATACACATGGCAGATAACTTATAATCCACTGAGCCACATGAGAAGAGTAATATGCAGAACAATAAAGAGTAGTCGCAACTGCAACAGATTGCAAAAGAGTAGCTAGGGTCTACGTTTTCAAACAGAATCTTGAAATCTGAGTTTTATGTAAAATCTCCAGAGTTCTAAAGGTTAACAAATAACTGATTTCAATGAAAAAACATGGTGAGGACCAAATCTGTGATACCCCAAAGAATGTGTTTTGTAGGCTGAATTTGACCATGTTTATGACCTCTTCCCTTCACTTTTAACTAGTACTTCAAGGCTCCCATTAATCTTCAAGGAGGAGGAGCAGCTAGAGGAGGAGCTCGTTTCTTCAGAGGGAATGCAGCTGGGACATCTTGGCAATGTATTCAGTAGATCCATCTGATGTAGCTCTTTGACGCAGTGTCTGACCAGATTCCTCATCAGAACACCTGAGGCAATGTGAGTGGGGAAATAGGCCTGGCGAATCAGGCTCTGTCCAAGCTTCCAGAGGGATGATAGCTGTGCATTGGTTGGCTGGTCAGCAGTGCCTGTTGTGCTGAGAAAAGTTCACAGGCTGAGGGAAGTTCAGAGAGAGGTGGAAAGGAAGGTGGACTTGAGCATCGCTGGAGACAGAGAAGCGGGATAAGGGAAGAACAAAGTATGCAGAAAAGGGACAAGAACTTTGAGGGAAAACAGGAGATAACAAAAGAAGCCTTCTAGAGAGCTTTGCTGTGTAATTAGTTCCTCCTCTATCTCTTTCAAAAACCTTCAGCAAACTCTGAACTACTTGCATGATAATTTTGGAGTCAGAGTTGTGGTTTTTGGGGGTACAGTTACATGCTCAGGGAGTTAGAAAGAGAGGAAACCTATATACCAGGGCCCTGCTGGAGAAGCAAGTTGGCAGATACTGCTGCTCACCTATTCCATACCCACTCTTTCCTTCTTCCTAACCATCAGGACCTGGATTTTGTTCAGAATAATAAATGTACTTGTTCAAAAGTATTGAACTCCCAAGATTCCCTTGCAGATGGTGCATTCACATGATTCACTGGCAGCCAGTGAGAAATAATTTGTAGTCTACTGGGTGGAGCTTCCAGAAAAGTTGCGGCTTTTAGTACTTTCTTGGTAAAAAAGGGAGGCACCTTTTATTCTTTGCCTTTCCCTTCTTCCTCCTGCCTACATCGCTGATGTAACACTAGAAGTAGCCAACTCAGAACCATTAGGACAGGAGCCTCAGTTTTTGCACAGCTGACCAGCGCCTGTGTTCTTGATGACTTCCTTGAGCAGCTCATCAGCCCCAAGCACCATCTATACACATTACCTGAGAAAGCTCAGCCCCTGTTTGCAGACACTGTGTTCAGGTTTCCACAGCATATAGCTGCATGCCTTCCTAAGCACCGCAGACCTCTAAGCACACTTTCTCTCCTTTTACACACCTTCTGAATGCTTAGTTTCCTCATTCCCCCACCAGAAAGATGCTCTTCTCAGTGCAAAACAAAAATGGCAGCAAGCCAGATTCAGGGGAGCTACTAGCTCCAACAGAAGGAGGGAAGGGAGGAAGGAAAGAAGGGAGGGAGGGAGGGAGGGAGGGAGGAATGGGGAAAGGGAGAAAGGAAGGAAAGAAGGAAAAATAAGTAGGACCTTCTACTATTGCCTTTAATGACAGGCCCTGGATGTTACAGAACTGGAAAGGGTTATAGATGAGTAATTAGAGCTTATACTAATTGTACCCAGCGCTCCTGGGGTGGAGGGAGGGTTTTAGTCAAAGCTGCCTTTAAATACCCTGGTGTTGGCTAGGCATTTGATTCTGCTCCCTGCTTTCATGGCCCCTCTCTTCCCCTCTTTCTACTTCATCCCATTCATGCATTGAGTGGAATGTGTGCATTCTCAGAAGGACTGATAGATTCTAGAGATTAGTGCAGAGGACACATAGCTGCTCAGTACCCTCTCTCAGTCAGGGAGTAGTCCCATCATGGGACATAGGCGTGACATAGGGGAGGTGCTAGGTGAATCACAGAGCTGAAAGCAGCCATCAGCCACTGTGAACCACTCCAGTATGCAAGGGGGCAAAGGGAGGATCAGAGAGCACAGGCTTTTTCAAGAGATGTCTTCCTCCCTTTCCACCCAGCTGCAATGCCTCTTTTCTTGGTGCCAAAAGCACAGGAATGAACAATTCAGTTTCAGGAGTAACTGAAATAATAGCAACCACAAACCTCCAGGAACTCTATTTACTGAAAACTCACTATGATTAAGTAACAAGGTTAAGAACTCATAAAGTATTAGACTAAATTAAATTTATGTATTACTTCCATTATCAGGTTTAAAACTTAGAATGAATCTCATCACACCTTGGAGCATGTTTTCTCTTCTGTAAATGAGGTGTTTGGAAGCCTTTCTGAAGATATCTTTCTGCTGTGAATCAGGCTTCTGGAAGGTAGGAATCAGTCTTACCATTTCTCTATCCCCAGCACGTGGCATGATTCAGTATGAAAAGGATCTCAGTGAAGTGCATGTCAAGCAAATGATCAGTGAATGAATGAATGACTTAAGTAGGATAGTGAATAAATGTATCTAATGTGGTACCCAGAAAGCAAAACTCAGACCAATAGGACCATCAATCAGCATGAGATTTCAGAGGAACTGAGAAAAAGGCAGATGACTATGGGCTGTAGTGAGCTCATGACTGCTAGAGAAATTCAAACACATGTTGCTGGCATGTTTACAGCAGAAGTGGGGTATGGTGTGCATGCCTGTAATCCCAGTACTCTGGGAGTCTCAGGCAAGAAGATATCAAGTTCAAGCTCAGCAGGGCAAATTTAGCAACTCAACCAGATCCTGTCTCAAAACAATAAAGGTGTGTGTGTTGTGGGGGGATGGGGAGGAGATAGATCAATGCAAAGGTGCTGGGTTCAATCCCTGGTACAAAAAAAAAAAAAATCTGGAGTGCTGGAAGGGAAGTGGGAATGTGTGACCTCTTGATCCCTTCCAATTAGCCTGAAGTCTCATTGTCAAGATCCCTTACTATGTCTTCTGAACAACTCAGCTTGCCTTCCTTACTCTGAATCTGAATTGGAAACATCTACTACCCTGAGACCCTTGAAGTCTTCTTAGACTTTTTCTTTTTTTTAGAGTGACCAAAGTGCCCAGAAATGATGGGCTTGGTACAGCTCAGAGTGTAGCCCAGGGCTGCTCTCCTCTTGAAGGCAGGCATTGACCATGGGCTTCCTGGGGACTGAGCAGACCAGTTGGCCCTGCAAGCATGGGATGGTGATAATGAGGACAGAATGTCCTTGACTTCAATGTATCAGATGAGCCAAAGCTTACCAGAAATCGAGCTCCATCGATGTGGTATTTCCTCACGGCCTTCTCACAGTCCCTGTAGCTCAGCTGCATGAGAAGGGAGATGTTGTCAGCCAGCTTGAGCCCTGCAGCCTCCTGCCATCAGTTCCCCTCTCCTGTCTATCCCAGAAGCTCAGCAAATTTTGGAACTTGTGGCTAGCCAGCCTACCCACCTCCCTTTCTCCCGTCTGACAGAGGGGTATCACCCCACCTTAGCTCAATTGTAATTATCATCCCCCAGGACTGCTGGAAATGGAGAAGGCTTTGGGGAGCCAACTCCCACAAGAAAGAAACTGCCTTCAAGGCCAGTGAGGGGCTGGTCGTACCCTCCCTAGGAAAATGCAAAGGAGCTGACAGAAGAAAACACATATCCATCCATCCCCCACCAAGGAAGCCTTGGTGAATACTGGGATTTGTTCCCTTCAGTCCTTTTTTCCTAGCATATTTTGAAATCTAGTGAAAGTTATATTCCATCTTGTTTCCCTGGTTTTTTTTCTCAAATTACCTAAAATGATAATATAGGAACTGCCTGTTGTGATAAACTTACTCTGATGGTCACAAAATTATTTAATCACTCCCTTATTACCGAACATTGAGTTTGTTTACCAAATTCCTTTTCCAATAATGATAATAAAAACTGCCAATTTTGCAGAATGCTTTCTACATGGCAGGCACTGTTCCAAGTTTTTAATTCAATCTTAAGTAATTTAATCCTCACACTTTGCTGATAAGGAATGAGAGGCTCAGAAAGTCAAGTAACTTGTGTGAGTCTCCATGGATTAGAGGTGACAATTGGTCTTCAGGACATGGCTTTAAATGTCTCTGTCAGGAAAACTCCCTTTATAAAAACTATTACCTACATACAGTATGTAAACTGAGAAAATATAAGCAAGCTTAATACATTCACCCTCCAGATCAAAATACAGAGCATCATGAATTTTCTTTTGCATATTTTTTTCTATTTAAGAAAATCAGCCAGGCATGGTGGCACACACCTGTAATCCCAGCACTGGGAAGGCTGAAGCAGGAGTATCACCATGAGTTTGAGGCCAGCCTGGGCTACCTAGTGAGTTCAAGGCTAGCATGAAGTATATATACAGTGAGACCTTGTCTCAAAAAACAAAAATGAGAAAGAGAGAAAGTATTTATGTAAAATTATCAGATTAGAGTTAGTTATAGGATCAACAGGGCTGAGCATTTTTAGGGTCTTGGTTACTTTCCATAATCAACCAACTATCATATGAAGTGCTTATTTCACCCACTCTCAGGAGAATATGTATTTGCATTTGAAACATCTCTGAGTTTGATGGCTGGTATATTTAAGGTTAAATATTTACTTTGAGGATTCCAGCTTTTCCTCACAAATGTAAGCCTCAGAATCTATCCTAGATTTCTTGGGGCAAGTTTAAAATAAAGTTATTGTCTTATGGCCAACAAATGTAAAAAGGCAATACAATTGTCTTCACCTCTTGATGTGGAAGGATGGAGTGAATACCATACTCAGAAAGCTGATTTAGAGGTCAGTGCTGGAAGCATGCAGCATCTATGGGGCCCTGGGACCTCTTTGATCTACATGCACAAAGAGTGAGTGATTCCTGGAATAGTCAACTGTTTTTAATTCAACATTTCCACTATCATCATTATCAGATGAACTGTCAGTTTTGCAGAGTGTTGGTTTTGACTGCACCTTGACAGACAGCCCTATAGCCTGAAACCTAGATGTTTGATTCTGATCCAGTACGATCAGGGCCTAAGGCCTGGAATTTATATTTTTAACAAGCAGAGTAGGTGATTCTTATGAGCATAGAGATTCAGGATATGCTGATCTAGAGCAGTTAGCTGGCTTTGTAAGATGGACTGAGGTCCAGAGAGGGGAAAGGATCACACAGTGAGTTGAGAACCCAGGTGGGATTAGAACACATGGCTGCAAGCTAGTGACTGAATCTTCCCTGGTCTCTGATTCATCTCCCTGTTCTGATGAGAATGTGACCTGTTCAACTGAGTTGTATAATTTTGGTCACACTTGAAGAGGGGATCTGTCTGTGCCTCTCCACCTCTTCCAGAATTTCCTTTCATAATTATTGATTCCTTTCTCCTTTTTTCATTGAGCTAACATGCAATTTAATTCTATCTTGCCAAATTTCACTTATTTGCCCTAATTTATTTGGTCTTCATTGAAGAAAAGTACTTAGAACCTCCTTCAAAAGCCAACTGTCCAACAACCTTTGCATCCTCAATGTTAAAAGTTATATTTATGATGACTTTGTAAAGGAAAAAATAACAGAAAGGAAATGCACAAAAGAGGTAAATAAAAAGATCTGTGAACTGTGCTCCTACTTTGCCATACCTGCCTGGTTCAGCATGCTCACATTTCCTTCTGTAAATCGGGAGAGAACAGTTCTAACTGTTAATACCATGGTACTAAATAGATCCTAGGTTTGAGTATGTGTCTGAGGGAGCCTATTCTACCCCCTCGGTTCTCTGCTTTTTTCAGGAAAAGTAAAACGTTGAATTAGATAACTGCTCTTAGCTTCATACTATCCTGTCCATGGCAGCCTGGAATATCAACTGCATTTTATGCCATCCTGCAGGCATGACAGCATCAAAAGTTCAAATTTCTCTTGTAAGGTGTCCTACCCCGTGGGCAGGGATAGAGTTCCTAATCAAGTCGTATGGCTTGGGATCTGTCCGAACAGATGTGTGGTCTTCGTCAATACATATCAGGCACAAGGACCCTTGAATACCTCCTCCAAACTTGCAAGGTAGAACAGTACAACTCTGGTCTTTTTTCTGCAACATGCTTGGCTTCTGCTTGTGCCTCACTATTTCTCTTCCCCTTTAAGGACCTCAGTTTTCCGAGCTATATATTGGTGCTCATACAGTTTTCTTGCCTGCCTCCCAAGATTGTCATAAACCTCTCAAGGGATTTTGATTGATGTAAGAGCTTGAAGAGCCCCTCTTTCATGGTCATGAGCAATGAATGACCAAATGCTGTATGAAAATCCATTCATCACAGCCCTTTATCTATCCCTCTTACTGAGCTTTTTCTTCAACCCTCAGGACTCTCTGTCTCTCCTTTCTAGTAGTGACCTTTATAACATTAGCTGTTGTACTCTACATCTTAGAACGCTGAAACTAGACAGGTGTGGTTCAAATCCCACCTCTATTGCATATAGTGTTTGGGACTTTGTGCAATTTAACCTCCATAAGCTGATTATGCAGCAGGGACAACTGGACAACACTGATCTCTTAAGGTAGCAGGAATGTTCAACGGGACACCTGTGGAAAAATTAAAGTCAGACCTTGGCACATAGTAGAGACACTTATTTGAAAGCTCTCTTTTCTATCCTTCTCTGTAGAACACGTTACCAGGAAAATTCAGTGGTCTGTATGACATTCACTCAACCAGTGAAGTTGCTGCAGCGCGAGTACAGTACTCTCCTATTGCTCTTTTACATCTCCCATGTTCTATCTGGATTCTATCTTCAAGCCTCTACCCAGTTCACCAAAAGTACCACTGGCTCACCCACTAACAAAAGAGCAAGGCTTACCTTTTTGAAATAGTCAGCAAGACTGTCAGCGTCCCAGGCCAGGACCTCTGAGCGAAAGGGCACATTCTTCAGTGCCATGGCCGCTGCTCTGGAGGAAGCTCACAAGCTGGTCACAGGCACTTCACCCATGAACAGAGAAGAACCCCAGATCCTGACTCTGGAGGTGCACTTGGCTCTTCCAATTCCCAGCTAGCCTCAGAAACACCCTTGTTGGAGCAGATGTCTTTTCTACTGTAGCCAAATCCCAAAAAGCAACGGCTTCCTCTCTGAACAAATATGGTCTCTTCTCAGAAAACGACTCAGCTAGTTTCCTTTACCACTTCCTCTGCTGGGTTCTAAATAAGTAAACAAGGAAGCCCAGCGCTGAGGGCTTGAAATGCAGAGAGACAGAACTGGTAATTCCCATTGGTCCCAGTCACTCCAGCCTACTTGGAGAGGAAATGAAGCGGACTCAAGTTGCAAAGTCAGTCCAAGTATATTTCTATGAAAACTCCTAGCACCCATAGCTCTCCACCACATTGCTGCTTGGCTAAGTCTTTGCAGATAAAAATCTATTTTGATACCTGACCTAAAATATGATCAATTTCTCACATTAGTGAACATTGGTGGGAAGGAGCGTGGCCTTTTAATTCTTTCAAACCCCTTTGCCTCCCACCCCTCAGTTTCTATCAAAAGGTGAAATGCCTTCAGCTGCCTCTGTACTGTGAGGGTAAGTGAGTCCTTGGTGGACGAGTGAGCCAAGCACCTAGAGTTAAACAAGTTGCCACAGTGAACTGAGCTCAATTTCTGATGCAAATGCTTCCATACTGTACGATGTTAAGCAAGCACTGAAAACCTAGGTATCTCAGATTCCATATTTATGAAGAGGAATTGTACTTGTAAAACTTGGATGCATTTAACTGGAAATACTTAAAGGGACAATTTTTGTTTTGTTTTGTTTTGTTTTTTTGGTACCAGGGATTGAACCTTGTTCTTACAAGGCAGGCAACTGAACCACTGAGCTAAATCTCCCATGGAAAATTGTAATTTAACAATGCTATTGATGGTGCCATATATGCTACTATGTTTCTACCTTATGTTGTATTTGCTACTGTTTCCTCCAGGTATTCTATATACTATTGACTCTAGCCAAAAGGCACATTTCCTGGAGATAGGAGATAGAAATCTTATTTCTTTATCAGTCTCAGACTCTGTGCATTTCTCATAAATTGAGTAATCCACTGGCAATTGCTGAATCCTGTGTCTAAATGCAAATGTATTCGTGCAATATGGCACCCTCTAAACACAAGTTAGCTACTTTATCCAGTGTTCCATGTGTACACCCTCCCCCCGATACACCCTCAGCTGTCTGCTCCAACGTTTGAGGAAAGAATTTAGCCTTGTTGCCCTTACTGAATGGTGCTATATTGGAATCTTCCTGAAGGTTTCTCAAGGATAGCTTTGGCCATACCTGACTTCCATCTCATATAGAATCTAAGGAGCCTTGCTGTTGCTACAGTGTATTTGTCTCACTATGAGTTTTGAGTGTGAGTCCCACCACCTGCAATGATTGCTGTGGGCATCAATCAAGATAGCATAGGCCAAGTGTTCCATATAGGGTATGGTACCTAAGGACACTGGGCGACTGATCATGCTCTATAAAGCACAGCCCTGCTTTACAAAGCTCTCCCACTGACAAGAGACATCACTTCATCTTTCAAATCACCAACATAGCAGCCATTTGAAGGTAAAGAGAGAGACGGAAATCATTTTCAAATAGAGTAATCAAAGCAGACACCATTAAATTAACTGGGATTTAAGCAGAGCCTTGGAGAATGGAGGACACAGGAGGGAATTCTGGACCTCAATCAATCAATTCCTCTAAAACACAAGCACCTGTAGAAGGGAACATCCCAGATTAGACTTACAAGTCAGAGCAACATTTTTAAAATGACCACCCCGCTCAGGAGAAGAAAAAAGCTAAAAAGCAGAAATTAAAAGTGAAGGTATTATTAAATATTAGACTCCTCTGGGAGAATTATCCAATACCTGTGTCCAACATGAACAATCCATGGAGCTCTGTGAGAAAATAGCCATAGCAGCTCAGAAACCCAGGAGACAATAAAGGGGATAGAAACAAGTCAAAGAGATGCAATACTCCAAACCTTCCTGTGTGCTAGAGCCCGTGCTGAGAACTTTGTGCCGGGCTGTCTGTCTCACTATTGTTAGCTCTGTTATCACTTCTACTTTACAGAAGAGAAAACTGAGGATCAGAGAGATGAAGCTGCTTGCTTACATCCTACTTCCTAACCTGTAGGGAGTGGGGAAGAGGATTTTATCAGAACCTCTACCATCCTGGCCTGTGAGCCACCACAGCACAAGGCAAATTCAAGAACAGACAGAAATGAGACTTAAGAGTGGAGAAGCTAAGGCTTTGGCCCTGGTTAGTGCTGCTGATGGCGGCAAAGGCAAAGGCCCCCAAGCACATCTAGTGTTTACTGAATACAATTGTGTGAAGGAATAGGGAGCGAGGAAGCTTTGAAGTCATCTAGTGAATTACTGCCAAACACCTGGCATGAGGACTCCAGGCAGGGCTGGCAGGGAGTTAGCATTGCTTATTTTGCTAGGATAGAAGAAACCTATACTGGGACCAGGTGCAATTAGCATGTAATCCACAAGGTCAGTGAGAACCAATAATTCAGGGGAAAGGATTATAATTGGGATCGTGCTGACCTCAGCTGCATGTAACTTAGCAGGGCCCCACCACTTCACTGACCAGGACACAGGCCTCCGTGACAGCCATTAGCAAAGGAGCAACAGTAGCCCAACTCTGCTAGCTGACATGCTGCCCATCTGAGTCACGCAGGGCTTCAGGACTCCTGACATAAAACAGTATTAGGGAAGGCAAGAAGCACGTGCCACTCATAATCTGCTAGTACTGGACAGGGATGTCTGCTACACTAGTCAACAGGTTGTACAGCCAGATCTTACTCAACAATACTTGAATCCAGAGTTCCTGTCTTTACTATGTGCTCCCTCAAGGCATGGAGCTATTAAATAACTATTCAAAGTGAAGTCAGGATCAAAAGCTGGGTGGTCTCCAGAGCCTGTGCAGTTTCCCCTGTTTATGTGAGGCAGTTTACATATGGTCTGCCTCCCATGATGAGCCAGTGAGGTTGTCAATCTAAACAAGCTCAGAAATGTTTCCAGCACTCTGCATAAGCCAGGCATCTGGTGCCCACTCCCTGTAGAACCAAAAGACCTTTCCTCTGAAGGGGCAGCCAGGCAAGCGAGAAAAGGTGGTGCAAGGGGAAGCTGGTTGCTTCAGGTCTGGTGCCTTTTCTCTTCCCCAGGCCTGGGTGATTTCCCAACCTTCACAAGTTTCACATCTTCTGTCCATGGCTGGAGTGTTCCAAAAGCTCTAACGGAAGGGCCAGTTACAAGAGAGACTTGGGAAACCAAGGGGGACAGCATGATCCTGTGCCAGTGACCTCACTTGACGAGGCTCAGTTTCCTCCCTTGTAAAATGAGGCAGGCACAAGGGCAGCCTCTGGGGACTGCACTACACTTCGGGATGTTGTGATGACACCAAGTCTGTTGGGTCTGCATCATTTGTCTGCTGGCCTTGATGAGCATGAAGCCAAGAAGAGTGGGAATCAGGTGAAGCACAGCAATTTACACGTGAACATCTTGAAATAAGGATCCACTTTCCCACGGGTATCTTTTTCTCTTTCCACCCATCAGGTAGAGAAACACAGAATTTATAAAGGAGCAAGTTGAAAGATTTGCAAATGTCTTCTTATAGACATCCCTCAGGATCTGTAGGGAATTGCTTCTAGAACCCTCTGTGCAAACTGAGATCTGTGATCATTAAATTTCCTTAAATAAAATGGTATAGGATTTTTGTGTAACCTACATATATCCTCCTGAATACTTTAAACCATCTCTGCATTGCTTACAATGCCTAATACAATCTAAATGCTATGCAAGTACTTGTTGCACTCTATTATTTTCGGAATAATGACAAGAAAACAAGTGTACCCATGACTAATACAGATGCAACTTGTTTTCAGATATTTCCCATCTGTGGATCCACAGATATGGAATCCCTCCATATCGCAAAGTGAGAGTAGGGTAACAGTTTCTGAGCATCAAAAAACAATACTATGTTAGTAGAGGGACAGGGGCTTGTGAATACATATCTTCCATAAGTGTCCAGTGGAGGCTGTGGATAAGAAAGCAATACTTGGCAGGGAGTAATGTATCAGTTTGTTAGAACTTAGGAACAAAAAGTGGTGTGAGAATAGCAAATATAACCCAAAATGGAGGATCATCCCATCTCCTCTACACCACTACAACCAAGCCTGTAGCTCCCTCCTTTTCCTTTGAACCCACAGCAGAGCAGGCAAGGAGATAACCCCCTTTCTTCCTAGCCAGTTTCAGAGGTTAGAAAGATGACACTTCATTAGAGACTTGCGAGTTGCAGTTCCTGTGTGTGTGTGTGTGTGTGTGTGTGTGTGTGTGTGTGTGTGTAAGAGAGAGAGAGAGAGAGAGAGAGAGAGAGAGAGAGAGAGAGAGAGAGAGAGAGAGAGGGGCGGGGGGG